CTTGTGCCCTGACAGGGATTTGAACCTTGACCTCCTGGTTCATAGGTCAATGCTCAACCACTGAACCAAGCTGGCCGGGCTGGACAGGACATTTTGACCAGTCGAGCCCCTGAGCAGGCGCACTTCCTCCCTAGGGAGGGAGCAGCAGGAGGTGCCCTGGGAGGGAGGTGGGACCAGGCCCCATAGGATTGGGGGGTTGTCCTTCTTTTCAGTAACGCGGTTTCCCGGCTGCCTGATTCGTTCACATTGGTTCTCACATCGGACGCTCCTGGGTTGGGTTTCCGGTTCACCACCTCATTGCAACCTGACCAATGGGTGTGGAAGTTTTCTTTCTTTTTTTGAAAATTTTTATTTATTGTTTGATTTTAGAGACAGAGGCAGGGAGAGAGAGTGAAAGAGAAACATGAATTTGTTGTTCCACGTATTTATGCATTCATTGGTTGACTGTTGTACGTGCCCTGACCGGGGATCGAACCCCAACCTTGGTGTGTCAGGATGACACTAACCAACAGCTACCCGGCCAGGGCTGAGGTGTGGACGTTTTCTGACAAATCTGGAGACAAGAGGGAGCGTTGAGGGCAGAAAATGACACTTTCAGGACTTCTGTTGCTGTAGGGAAATGGCATATGGTCCAAAACACAACGAAACAGGAACCAGACCAGCAGCTTCCTCCCTCCTGGGGCCAGCATGTCACCCCGTGGGAACCTCGGGGTGTTCTGTGGGAAGGTGTGATACATGTTTTCCTCGCAGGCCCTGCGATAGTTAGAATTGTGTGGGTGACAATGCTTCCCAGGGTGTAAAGGGCTCAATGCTGCTATTTCTTTCCTATAAGGGCTGGGTTTCTTAAGGTGAATTAAATGTTGAGAAAATTGTGATAGGATGCGCTCCAAAATATACCCTCAGCCTTTTTGAAGGGTACAGTCGGCGGCATTGCGACCATTCACATTGTGCAGCCATCACCACCATCCATCCACAGAACTGTTTTGTTTTGCAAAACTGGAAATCTGTCCCCATGGAACACTCCAGGTCTCCTCCCCTCCCCTCCCAGCCCCTGACTACTTCCTGTCTGTGAACTTGTCTACCCTGGTACCTCATAGGTGGAGTCATACAGCATTTGTCTTTTGTGATGACATTACAGGTAAGCATATTGTCCTCGAGGTTCCTCCATGCGGTAGTCTGTCGGAATGGCCTTTTCAGGATGAATAATACTCCATCGTGTGTGTGACAGAGTTCTTATCCGTTCACCCAACGATGGACACCTGGGTAGCTTCAACCTTTGGCTGTTGTGAGTGATGCTGCCATGAACATGAGTGGACAGGTATCTCTTCGAGACCCTGCTTTGAATTCAGGGGGCGTGCGGAGAAGTGCTGGATCGTGATGTCATTCTCCGGTTAATCTTTGAGGAGCTGCCATCTTGACTTTCTCAGTAACTGGATGCTATTACTTTTTTGTTGTTGTTCATCCTCACCTGACAATATTTTTCCATCGATTTTTTTAGAGAGAGTGAAGGGACAGTGAGAGAAACATCGGGACAGCGAGAGAAACATTGATGTGAGAGAGACACATCGATTGGTTGCCTTCCACCTGCACCCCAACCAGGGCTGGGGATCAAACCTGCAACCCAGGTATAGGACCTTGACCGGAATTGAACCCGGGACTTTTTAGTCCGAGGGCCATAGCTGTATCCACTGAGCCAACCAGCCAGGGCAGGATGTTATTACTTGTCTTGGAGGTGGTGCCTCCGGAAGCAGGATGTTATTACTTCTAAAGTCTGGGAGGTGGTGCCTCGGAGGTGTCTGATGGCGCGGTTTTCACAGCCGCCTCTGCACCCCTGCCCGCCACTCCCCACCCCTCCTGTGCTGGGAACTGATGAACTTGAGGCTCCCTCCTCTCCGCCTTTGCTCTGAGCAGAGTGATTTTCAACTTACAATCGTTATTTGAGATAAATTACTCCATTTCCTGTTTTAAATTGACATCCAAAATCTAGTAACTCTGAGGCTGTGCCCAGTTCGCTTACACATTGTACGTTCATTGAAATTAAACACAGTGCATTCGTCTTGACTTCAACACAAAAATACTAACATTATGGGTTTGAGTTTTGTCATCTTTATTCTCAGTCCTGACCCTACGTTGACATTTGTTCCTCACTCGGGGCCCAATTTTGCCACCTGAGGAAAGACAAGGAGGCTGTCCCCTGGGTGATGCTGGCAGCCTGGCAACAAGGGCTGAGGCCAGTGGCCACTTACCATGAGGTCGGCAGGTGCTGTTGGTATGGAGTGCAGTGCCCTGCGCTCTGCAGCCCAAGGTGCCCGTTGGCGAGCCACCCTGATGACGGCACCAGCCCCCTGGGTTACATGCTCCCTGCCCACTCCCACTGCCCTATAAGCAAAACTCTTTGTGTCCAGCGTGTCTGAGCCAAGCTCCCCTCCCCACGTGTTGGAGAGACTGGGCCGGGCTGGGTGAGGGTGCTGGCTGAGTGCCTCCAGCTGGTGACTCCTCCAGGCTCCACCAGATGATGCTGCTGGCACATGCCAGACCCCTTTCCCTGTGATTCTGGGGTTACTTTTCCCCTGAGTGGGGATTTTCCTCACATCCTGAGGGAGGCAGGATGGGTGGGGCTTGCCTGGGAGCTGAGATGGCTTATTGACCAAAGAACTTGTCCAAGACCCCACCTCCGAGCTGTAGTCATCCCAAGTGACCTTGTGATGTTGGGGGTCCAGCTGAGCCCTATTTAATAGTCACTGGGTCTTTTGGGTCCCTAAGTGGGGTGATCTCAGCTCATGCCAACAGGCGCCCATCTCACCTCATGTG